TATAGATAAAGATTGACTGATAGGAAAGAATATTTAAAGCATTAATTAGATACACTAGAGCTTAATGCCCCTCAGAAGAGTTTTTAAAAGAAGACACCATCTTAAAGTTTCACATTTCATTGCAGAATTACATCCATCAAATAGCACTTGACAACTGTGACATTGAAAACTATTTTCTTTTAAAACAATAATAATTTGTTAAGCTAAAGCTACTGCTGTTTGAATTCTGTGGGAGCATGTAATGTCATTTCTTGAACTCTCTAGAGGAAAGTTAGTCACATGTCTAAGTAACTAAGTGCCAAAATCTACAGCAAAGTAAATGACATCTTCAGATTGGGATTCCAAGCTGGAGCTGTCATAACATAGTATGAGACTTCCTTAATGTGAAGGCCCTGAATGCCAAATTGGCACACGACCCTGTTTTCTTGTTCTTCTATAGGAGCAATTGGAACCAGGCACCCATTTTGGTTTCAAGGTGTACATACATACATAAATAGATGTGTGATATGCCCATTCCTTGTCACAGAAACCTAATTTATCCTTTACTTCAAAGGTTTACAGGAGAGTCTCAGGAGAATAAAAACAAGACTTACAACCCCAAATCCCAGCACAAAAGACCCACAGCAAACTAACTAATAGCAGGAATGTGGAGAGCATCTGTAAGGTGCACACTGTAGAAAATGGAACTAAATTAATTAATGGAGGTTGAGGTCTCCAGAATTTTTAAATGTTCTCTGAAATAGGGGGATAGGTTGACACCGATCTTTCATTAAAGCTTTGATTTACCTTTGACGGTATCAGAGAGCCACTAACAGTCTACCCAAAGATAAATCAAAGGTGTGTAAAGTATTTTTGGTCCAGAGTAATACTAAGAGTCTATTTGCCTATGCTACAACAGCATTAAATGTACCATGAATTATTCTTCTTGACTGTATTATCTAGTGTTCTTCAGTCAAGGTAAAGTTTGAAGGACAAAGAACTTTGACACAAGCAAAAATCCAAAGTCAGCATTTTTTCCAATTTCCTAATAATTTGTCATGGAAAAAGTATAAAGCTTGCCTAAAACATGCCTTGAACTAGCAAAATATGTACATTAAGTGCTATATTTCACCACACTGAGACTCAACAATCTTTCACTTCCTTAAACCCACTAACCTCACTTGGCAGATGTCTCATTTATCTTGTGGACATACTGAGAAAGAAAAACCTGAGTTTAAAGCACTATGTATTCATTCTTTCTCAGAGAGAAAAGGACTGAAAGGTGATTTATATGTTTTAGAATCCTGTTAACATAAGCAATAGTTTCTCTGTGGAAATTAAATAGGCAGTAAGAAAACTTTCTTAGGGAAGTAAACAAAGCATGAACTCAAATTTGCTTTTCTATTGGATTAAAACTTGTCAGAATTGAAAATTTCTTCTGGTACTGATTTTCAAGAGATTATTTGTGCTTGAATTCATGAAACAGATGGAAAATCAAGGAATATTAAAATTTGGCAAAAATAAAAATAAGAATCAGACATCTTACTTAGTTCATTTCAAACCCTGCTATTATGAAGGGCTTTTAGCATTTCTCTCAGCCGTAGATACTGTGTGCAGTACTGCAGGTTTTCCCCTGCTGATTGCTGCTGCACAAAGAGTAGAAGTCTGGTTTTTATTGAGGCCAATGGCATTGCTTGCAACCTTGAGTACCCTGAATATGTTGGATCCTAGTTAATTTCAAAATTTTTCCTCTTATTTGGATGTACCACCAAATTAGATGCCTTTTAGGAAGCTAGGCCAGATGTTCTGTCACCATGGCCAGGGACAGAGATGGCCAAAGCCTGGGGGAGAAGCCTTACCCATGGTGAGTATGGAAATTGTAAGCAACATAGTTCAGAGGAGGAAGGAACACTCTCAGATAGTGCCTAGTCATTGAAACACTTACCCCAGGGAATAACTCATCCTGTCAGCTGATTCCATCTACAACATGTGCCACCACATCCCACACACTGAGTAAGAGCCAGGGAAAGAAGGTGTGGGCTTCTTGGATGGGCCACATAGTTAAGCAGAAACGGAGACAAAATTCTCAAACGAGCGTAAAAGCCAGGCAGAAATTTAATGTCTTTGCCTGCTTGGCCAAGGACAACTTAGCCTCTCTAAACTTAATAAATAAACACACCAGCCATTCAGTTGTTGTGTTTACAAGAACAGTAAAAAAACCCTGGACAACCTGGGAAAGAATAGAGCTCTTTGGTAGGAGCTGGATTCCACAGGAGTTAATTTGAATTTCCCCAGCCAGCTGGAGCCTGGGGAACGCTGATTTTCCATTGCCCTGCACCTTGTAGAATCATTTACACTTCTCAAGTGGACATAAAACCAAGCTACAGACACTAACACCACCATTTAACACCCACTTTGCAGAGGTGTTAACGTCCAAAGAAAGTATAAAGTCACGGAGAGCAGGATTCAATCGGCAGCACTGCTGAGGAAGTGCAGGCTGCTCTCTGCCCCCGGGGCTGACGCTCGGGCTGCTTTCCCTGCTTCCCGAACACGGCACACTGCGATGGTCACCAAGATCCTGCCACGGGAGGTTCCTCCTGGTGGCGTCACTTGTGCGAGGGAAAGGGACCCTGCCCGGCTCCCTGCAGGGTCGCTGTCACTGGCCCTGCTGCCCCAGGGACACCCTTGTGCCCGAGGCTGAAGCTCCGTGTTTCCCCACGTTCCTCTTTCCCCAGCTCTCTGTGAAACTTGCTGTGTGTAAGCCAAGAACAGCGTCCATAAATCCTACCTTCTAAAATAAAATCAATGGTGGTTCATCCTCCTGCTTTCCTCGCATGTTCTCATGAGGGCTAAGAGAGCACACAGCTGGCTGAGAACAGAGGAGGTAGAGAATATTAATGGGAAAAAAAGATTATGGGAACTCTTGTACCTACAAATATATTTCCCAAAGCACATCATGAAAGGGAGGATGAGACAGAAAGAGAGAAGGAGGCAAAAGAAGATGAAAATATATGATAGATGAAAATATATGAAAAACACTGAAACCACCAACCACCCTGGTGCCAAAAATCTCAATTAAAAGGTGACAGATGTGTAACCTTGTTTTAAAGAAAAAGAAAAAGCACCATAAAAGAGATGTTGGCAGGTTTAGAAAATAAATGCCAAATGTGTTCAGTCTTGCCTTTGAGCAGTGTTTCTTTTCAGTTGTCTTCTGGTTTTGTAAATTTTATTTGGTTTCCTGCAGTTCCCTTGCCAGCTCTGTGAGGGCTGGCCATAGATCTGAGAGATGTTGGCCCATCTTCCCTCTAAGGGCTGCTTGACTTCCCTGCTGTGCTCAGGGCAGGTTACTTGTTCCCCAGCAAGACAAGGCCCTCTGTGCTTTAATTGCTTCTCAGCCACTCTGGCACCAGCTGAGGTCACTCCGAGTGACTGCAGGGGAGAAACAGCAGCAACTCCAGCCAGTGGTATTGTGATGGCTTTCAAAATGCAAAAGGAGCAGAGACCCAAGATAGAGGACTGCAGGCACCTTTCCACTTCTAAATAAACTTAGAGAAAATGCAAGTGTAAAACTCAACTGTTCCTTTTTATGGTCTTGTCTCCTTTTAATTTATACCTCTTCTGTTTAAAAAACAATGGTATATAAAAAGTGTTTTTGCAGTGGCAAAGAAAGAGAATACACATATTTCAAAGAGGAAAATGTCTGATTTTGCCCCATATTTATGCTCCCTGATGCATTTGGCAATGCTTCCATTTAATTCCTTCTCTATTCAGGTGCTGTTGTGTCCAGAAGGGGTTAGGCATGTGGTGTGGGGTAAGGTGAATGTTAGAAGTCACCATGGCAATCATTTAGAAATGAGCTAGGACACAGGACTTTGTGAACTGTACCAGTGAAGAACACAGACATGAATCTGACAAATGGACAAATTCTTTTTTCCTCTTTTAGGGCTGGAGAAATCCCTGTAAAACAGTGTTAATTTCTAGTCACCCATGTGAGGTCTTCATACAGAACATAGAGCCAGTGAGAAAAGGCTGGACTTTGCTTCAGAGGATGGGTCACTCTGAACGTCTGTGTCAGGGGCTGGGGAGGGGAAAAGGAGCATGAAGGAGTAGCAAAGCTCCTCATCCTTTATATGGGCCCTGTCAGTGGGATTGCTGCTCAGAAGAGAGGCTGTGTCTTGGGGAAAGCAGGTGACCCCTGGGGCAGGGAAGCACTTGGGAAGCACCTTCTGGATCATTTGCAGCCTGTCCCAGAAGCAGGTACTGCTGAAGAGAACCAAAAGCTTCTCCCTCCCAGTGCACCTCTCTGTGCAGATTTGTACAGACAAGGATAAGACCTTTTTTTGTATATTGGAGGCAGCTTTTTTTCATGAAAGTAGAGAAATATGGTCTCAGTGCCACAGCAAGAGCTTTACTGTTTCTTACTGGCTTCTTTATTAACTACTTGCTTGCTTACTTGTTCTTGGAAACCTTTTAAAATTACAAAATGCCTTCTTAAAAATATTAGGGGGAGAGGTCTTTAAAAAGTTGTGGAATTCCTCTGTAAGGGCTGGGTTTTACATCCTAATGGGACTAAAGCTTTTGTCTGGAAGCAGGAAGATTATGCTTACTTTTGAGCAGATTTTTGAGAGCTTTATGGAGTGTGATAGCTCCCTCTCACATTTGAGGATATTCTGCAAATGGAGAACTTTGAAGGGGGGTTCTTTGAAGAGAGCATCTGCCATTCCAAACTGTGAAAGGTGCTTAGACAAAAATTTATCTGCTCTTCAGAGAAATCTTATCCTAAGGATTTAGTTGAGGATGGCACTCATGGCATTAGATGCAACGAGGCATGACTTGCAAATACTAAACTATTAAAGCAATTAATTCATTTCCTCCAACAAATGGTACGATTAAAAATGTGCCTAGGGAATGCTATAAATATACATCTATGACTTGACTTTTCTTCCCAGGAATCTCTGGCTAATCCCTAGTGAGTAACCTGTCTCTAAACTTAAACTATCAAATAAAAATGAAAAGCCAAATATTTTAAACTATTGCTTTTTATTATAATTACACTGGAGCACAAATAAATAAGCACTAAATTATTGTAAAATATTGTCAATGCACTAAAGAAAGCAGAATTGATCTTCAAACAACATCTTATTACTTCAGAAGTATCAAAGTACATTTAATTACATCTTACCTAAAAAAATCAAGTACAAAAATGAAAAGAAAATTAATATGTATTTATACTGTGTATATAGAAACGGCTAATAATATATGATTACAGTTAGCCTCTAGCTACTCCTTAGTCCTACACAATCTCAGGCACATACCTGACAATTTCTAATGAAATATAAAAAAAAAGCAACATGACATTCAGTTTCAAGATATTGGTAAATGTATTACATTGGAATGAACACAGAATGATTTAATTTTATTTAAAAACCCTGTCATTTAAAAACATAGTGCCATTGTCCACTTAAAAATAAACAACCCAAACCAAAAAACCCCATACTATTTTATACCATTTGCTTTAATTTGTCAAAAGGAGCGATAAAGTAGACATACATTGGCTAATATACGTAAACACATTTTTAGTGCAAGAATAACAAGACCTGTGACTTTACTGTGCTTTCTTGAAATCACAGTGCACCTTACACAAATTGCTACACTATAATGTTTAACTTCAGGAGTTTAAAGCAAAATAAGTGCATACCAAACAATTTCATATATACAGTCTCCATAAGTGTGTGTATATATGTGATCTGTATGTATACACAGATTGCATATTTATACAGACTACAGCTTTAATGACCGTGTGTAACTAAGCACTGTCATTCACCCTGTGACACAGAAGCTGCTGAGACAAGAGGTGATGTAGGAAATGTGTGACAGCATTGTGATGGCAGCTCTCGGCAGGACCATGTGCCTTTTACTCGAGCCATGGGGTGGGCCAGGTGGGTCAGGGGACAGGGCAGTGGCTCTGTCCCTGACCTTGGGAAACTACTCTGCCTGAGCCTCACTTCCCTCCTCAGTAAAACGGCTCTCGCAAGCATGAGGTTTACTTCACATTTCTAAAGTGCTTTGAAGGTAAGTGCTAAGTTATATTTTACTTTTTCATGTTGTTGCACTTTAAAACAAAAAGCCATTGTTTCCATGGGATACAATGGAGGTCTGGAAGCACATGGGCAGTTATTTAGGAAGGACAACATAAACAGTGTTCAGCAATAAAAGCAAAACAAGGAGTTTGCAGCGGGCTAAGTGTACAAGCAAGTCTGCTCTAGGACAAGAACGCTTCAATTCCCTGATCATTATTCCTGTTACATGTCGATATGGAAAGGACACGATATGAACAAACACCAGCAAGGACAGAACCGTTCACACTGACACTGCCTTCCCCCAGCAGGTGTGCCCAGGGTCTGCGCTGCCAGCCACGTTTCTGGAGCTCCAGGAGGAAACCAGTGAGGACAAGGACTGGCAGAGCTGACTGAACGCCTGCTTGTGTTCTGTCACCAGTGACTTTGTGCAGCTGGGGGAAAGGGCTGAGCTAAGTGTTTCACACATGGATATGGGAAATTCTTCTCTTGCCACATTACAAGGAAGACAAACCATGAACACTTGCTGAATAATGAACCTGTTATCTCAACAGATTTCTCATGACCAACAAGTCTTCTTCTTTCCAGCAGATTCTGGAACTTTGCGAGATTTCTGGAGTTTTTCTTCTGCAATTTTCTTTCTTTAAAAAAGAGAGAATAAGCAGAATAAACAGTTGGTGTCTTTTGGATGCAAAGTGTTCAAAGATTCCCTGACAGCCTCCGGGTTTTTTCATGTCTTCTGTCATTTTGGCTGTGAGGGGGTCTTCAAATCTGAATTTCAACTCTGTACGTATTCCAGCCTTTGTATATTCCTAACACACCAATATTTAACATATGCAGATATACGTATGCACACATCTATGGGTATATATAGATACATGCATATATACATGTATATGTGTGTACACATATGCATATATACATATACAGTAATGCTAATATACATACACACATATAAACACACACTTCATCTTTTACAGAAATCTCAGTTTGGACATCAAAATATACATTAGTTAATTAGTTATAAAATATTTAAAAACTTTATTTCAGAGGCTGAAAAGAAATTACTACTGATAAAACATTACTGAAACTCAAACTTTAGCAATATAGATTACAAAAACCTTCTAAAATTTGTTATTTTTGGTCTTTTTTGATCAGCAATTACAGCTGTGGCAATGCTGTCAATATAATTTTAAAGAAAAGCCAATATAACAAGAAGTTTCAAACAACACACCTTTTCTTCTTGGTGAATATAACATTAAAATGATTGTTTTAAAGAGGGAATTTTGTACTACCAAAATTCAGACACATAGATAGAAATTTTAATATACAAAATATATGCCATAGATCTTTTTTCCCCCCTACTCCACTGCAGTACAATTTTCCCTCGTCCTCAACAGATCCTTTTGGAAGATATTTCACCGCACAGATTTCACCCTCATAATCAGTATAAGCCATCCCTTTCTCCCGTTAAAACCAGGAGGTCATAATTCTTTGGTCATGACATAATATTCTGTTAAAATGGATGTAATATAATACAGATTGCAAGCCAATTCCAGAAGCAGCCAGGAAGAAGAAACAGCATAGCCGGAAGAATGCGTTACGTGGGCTTCTGCTTCAAAACGGCATGAAACCAAGAGGGACTTCCCAACAGCCTTTCAAGGGGTCTGAAATCCAGCCCACAGAAACAACACGAGGAAATCTGACACAGCATAAGTAAGGATGTGCTGCTGGATTTAAAAATAATAAACATGTAAACATATTTTGTCACCTTTATTTTCTGGACCGTGGGTAAATGTGGACAGGGACGGCGGCTGCAGTGGCACCGCCTCACCCCGCTGAGCCGCCGGCTCTCTCCGCCAAGGGCTGCACAATGCTTAGTCACAGTGAACCATGGTCTCTGCTAATCAATGGAACGTCTTCAGGGAAGAGATTCTGTCGCAGGCCATGCTGCAGAAAATTTAGTTCCTTGGCCAAATCATTTTAGTGAATGGTTCATTTAAAACCAAGGACAATTAATCAGGTTACCATTATGGGAAAACAGATGCAGAACAATTAATATTTTAAATGCAACTTGGGCACCTGCACTGAGCACTTGTACTTTCAGTGCTTGCAGGTTTGCTGTTTCCCCCCAGAACTCTCTCCTTTGTCCATCCCACCCCCCTAGCTAAGGACATCTAACAAGTACGACTCTAGTTATCCTCTACAGCCCTAGCACCGAGTTGTTTTGTACATTGTCCTCTCCAACAACACGTACAACCACATGCTTTTGTACAGAGGCCACATCTAGGCAGGTCAGAGAAATAAAATGGTGGCGGCGGGGGTGAACAGTAGAATAGAACATAGAAAATAGGTAATAAAACAGTATAACAGTAACATTATATAGTAAAATTCTCCATAAATTTTTGAATTTATATATATATATTTATATATTTAAACAGTGTATTAGTTTGTGTGTTTTCAATATATTGGTGAAATATTTACATTTTGATATCTTCTGGATCCAAAAAAGTCCTGGATGAATATGTATGCCTTAATCCAGTCAGAAACTTAAATCTCTCTCTTGATTGACAGGTGAGCGCTGTACTGGTGTGTTTTTTCCTAGGAAGTCCACCACCTGCAGATAAGTCTTAGATTAGAGCCTTTGCCTTTTAAAGAAAGCAGGCTATCTGTGCTTGGTGCCACACAGCAGAGAGGGCATCCTCCACAGGCCTGTCAAATTGCAGTGTCCCAGAAAACAGTTTGCTGTTTGGAATAAGGAGGAGGGCTGTATTTCTTGGTCCCAGCATTCTTTTTCCAACTCGGCAAGATAGGCATGCTGTCCTGTTTGCAGAGTCCTTTCTCTGATTTCTGTCGAGCTTTGATCTCTTTGCAGAGGCAACGCTTTTTTTCAATCATGTCCAGCATCGTATGGTCCCCTTGCAACCACTGCATGCACGTCACCTATTGGGGGAGGTGGATGGAGAAAGAAAAAAAAAGAGGGAAAAAACATAACTGTCTTGGTCGTAGATTAAATATGCTTTTTCTTTGCAAAGTTAGCTTACTCTTATTCGAAACAGTCTAATTTTATGAATAAAAATCTCTATGTCAACAACAGAAACAGAGCTAGTCTTTACTTCTAAATACTTCCTTAAGAAAAGAAAGGGTAATAGAAGATCACAGTTTTAACTTCTCCAGAGCACTAAAATCTAAGATAAATGGTTTTGGCAATCTAACATTGGTTGGATTTTAAATGGTACAATAGATCTTAAAAAAGGCACATGGATCTTAACAGCATCCTTAAGTTGTGGAAATAAAAAATTCTACACACTGAAACCCACGTTTTATATTGCTTTCCAAATCCAATCTGTCACATTAAAAGCAGGGTGTTAACATTTCTGAGTATCAAGCTAAATATAACTGTTAAATTTTGTTAAAATGATTTAATGAACTCCCTGCAAATTATATGGATTAACCTATCCTACTCTGTGATATTTCATTAACTGGAAGGCACAAGAGTTAAGAAACTCCATGTTTTCATGCATGTGGAATACTGGAGAACGTGATCCTGATCCAAAAGGGGAGGTTAGCATATGTTTAGCTGTAAGTACGTGTCACAGCCCCTCTGAAGCTGAGAATGTGACTTCATTTGAGTTCAGTGGGGAGTTCACAATTGAAAATGTGTCTTCAGAGGCTTTAGACTGGAACAGAAATCACTAATAGTAAATTCCTCTGAAAGGGCTCATTGGTTTCGGACATCACTGCATACCTGCAGCTCAGAAAACTTCCTCTGGACACTTTGCAAATGTGAAGTGATGTCTTGAATGTCCCCACATTTTCCCAAGAGTTAAGGATTTGTGTGTAAGTAAATGCACACGGTACCTTCACAGGGGCTGTCCAGGTACATCTGTGCTTTTGACATGAAAATGAACATCTACAGCAATACTTTGGCAGAATTTGAGATTCATGAAGGAATTGTATCTTTATTATTATGGTATTTGAATACAATTAATAATGCATATGCGTTCATTCACAAGTCTTAGAATGCCAAGTATGGGCATACACCAAGACACTAGAACTGGGGCCTGGTTTGCCTAAAATCCCCTATAGAATCCCTTATAGATCCAACTTCCTTGGATCTCAGTAGTTTTTGTGTTTAGCTTGAAGCCTATTTAGCATTTATTGATAATAGATTAAGCAAATGTTCAGATTCATAGTAGAAAACAAAGCAAAAGGAATAAATTTAGGAAAGCCTACCAGAAAAATAATAAAAAATTATGTAAACAGAAAAATTATTAGAATACAGAAATATCAATATTTTTTTGTAAAAAAAAAAAAAAGAGCAAAAGAGGATAAAATACTTTTATCACAAAACCATGCTTACCTTATACACTAGATAGTACTGTGAGAAAAACAAGTTTAAACCATAATATGGATTTTGTCCTTCAATGTTCTTCTGAATTTTGAATTACACTGGTAACTTATCTGCAATGTGTCCTGAGTGGCTGAGCCATTTTTTTCGGGAATTCTGCTGTGCCTGCTCTTTTAATCGGATACTTATCTTTCATTTCAGGCATGATCCAATGTTTACTGTGGTGCAGGTGGGCATGAGGCACAGCATCTGCCATGGCCAAGAGACTTTCTCTCTTTGGGTGCCCAGGATTGGTCCAAAACTCCCTGTCTGAACTGGAGATGCTCCCCTCCCACCCCTTGGCTCCTCTCCACAGATCTTTGGAGAGGCTCTGCCTGGCCCAGGTTTGTGCCACTCTGCTCACCAGCGGTGGGTCAGTACTTACACAGCAGTGTCTTCAGCTTGGCTGGGTCCTCCTCCGTGGGGAAGGACAGGGACACAGCCTGCACACAATTCATTACACAAATATTCACCAGCACAGCGGCTTCTGCGCCAGGCTTGACGACACCAGCGCTTGAGCACGGATTTCCTCTGGTGGGCACCGGGAAATACCTTCTCTTTTACAGCCCATCACGTCACAGGCAGAGCGTGTGCCAGTGCCAACCCGCAGCACGCGTGTGCTCCAGCCACCGAGTGTCACCAAGCAGCGCCCGTGAGAGCCCGTGACCGTGTCACAACCGCGCCACCCCGCTCCCCGCCGTGCGCACACAGTGCCGTGCCAATACCGTGCCTCCTGGACTCATCTCCTGCACTCCAGGAGGCACTCGAGGGGACACAAGCAGCACTTTGACATGCTGAGCTCTAAAATGCCAGTTGCAGCTTCCCAAAGATAGAAATGGAGTTGTAGAAAGTATCAGTTACACAGACACTCTGCCAGCCCCTGCAAAACAGCACCTAAAATATACCCAAGAGTAGGCAGCTCCAAAATCCTTTTTTCATACTGGCCATCGTATTTTGCCATGGTTTGTGAATCATTTACTGTGAAGAATTTGAATTTTCCCACTTTCCCAGATGCAGCTTTTCAAGTCTGCTTGGGATTTTTAAATGTTATTTTTGTTTGATGGCTAAGTCCTTCCTGTCAGCATCTTAGGTATACTGTCCACTGGGCACAATCCTCCCCTGGAGCTGCACTGAATAATGGTGTGTTCAGGGAGAACATGTAGAACTGGGATGGGCGAAGTCATTTGCTAAAATATACCTAGTTAACACATACCATGTTGAAAGGCCTGGGGGGGGGAAGCTTTATATTAAAATAAGCCTAAATACTAAAGTTTTTTTTATAGTTTTGCCCAGTTGTTTAGTTTATAAGTGCAACAAAATAAAAAAAATATTAGGAACAAAGTTTCACGGCCACTGGAAGCTGCAGGACAGACCTGAGAGGAAATCCCCACTGCAAATCTAGGAACTACAGAAATGACAGTAACCATGTTGATATGAAGGCCCAGAGTGTTAAGTAAATTTTCAGTGTTTCCTTGACAAATAACAGGCACTGAAGCTCACAGGCCAGGACTCAACCCAGCTGTTAATCACAGTAAAATCCCTCGACGACTTCAGTAGGGCTACTAAGGTGTTTAAAGCCAATGTGTTTAACACTGGAGTCTTAGGACTAATCCTCCCAGTGACTGAAATGATGGCACTTACACTTAGTTCTAGCATTAATTTTTCTCACCTCCTCCCTCCTTTCTGGCTTTAGCCTGCTCCTCTGGCCATGCACCAGGCTGTTAATATCCCTGCTACATCATAACACGGCATTTGTTTAGTGTGAGAGGCACAAAAAATAATGATGTTACAACCTGATTTATGGAAAAAAGTAGAGCATTCAAAACATTTTGCAGCTATACAGCTCTCCTGGGAAAGATCCCAGCGTGCTTGAGGAATGGTGCACATACTGCAGCCTGTCAGAGCTTGGCTGCACATGTGGATGTACACAGACAGGCACAAAATGCATCAGCACTGGAGGTAACAGCCAGCAAGACAGAGCACAGGAGAGGAAAACTTGGTTCTGACCAAAGAGTCTTGGCCCAAAGCCTGTTCTTATTGAAGAGGGAGGAAAGAGCTAGAAACAAAAGTTAGGATTGCAAGAAGGGACCTCCTGGAGATTCCAGGATGTGAATCAGGTACTACATCCCATAATATCCTTTGGATTACAAAATTTGCTGATTGCACATCAATTTTTAACTTGATGGAATTTTTACTCATTAGATTATTCAAGGTATAGAACACCTTTTATAGGTTTTTTTTTTTTTTTAATCAGGGCAAGATAGTGAAGAAAAACGCCAGGCAAAGGCCCAGAAGTTTGGACATTCACCAGGAAGGTGTTGGAGGTAGGCTCAGCTCCTTGCTCCTAAGCAGGCAGTAAAAGCTGTGTGATGACTGGATGTGTAGGAAGCATACAGGAATATAGGGTGGTTGGATAAATTCTCTTGCCTGAATGTGAGTGAGTGCAAGAGTAAACCAGGATGTCTGACAAGTTCTTGGTAAACACACTCACCCTTAGATTAGTCATCAGTCTCTAGTTTTCCTTCAAAAATCTTCTTCAAAGCAAATCCTTGTACCAAACTTGAACAGCAACAACAAAAAGTAAGAAACTCCTGCCACTGTACAAAACTGAGCTTTTCCATACAGTTTTAATTACCAACTTCGCCATCTTTAGAAGAAACCAGTCTAAGCTTGCCTTACCTTACTTGTACTATTTTCTCTCAGTTTTCTGCTATTTTTTATTCCCAAAACATTGGAAATAAATGCTATTAAGGTCTTTTATGTACTCTTGGGTTCTGTGTTGGTAGTGCCATGGAGCAAGGAGTAATAAACCCATCTTCAACTAAGATAAAACAACTTTACATATCCTCAAAACAATGCAAAATTAAAATCCTTCAAAGTAAAAAAAAGATCCCTTCTGGTGGGTGTTTTAATGCTTTATGAAGGTCAAAGAAACAAGCTAGACAAAGAAGTTCTCTTCTCTGCAAAGTGAAAATGGTGCATTTTTGTGTGTGCCTACATTAGCAGTGGGCCTGATCTTGTATCTCATCAGTTTGAAATTTCATATTATTCCAGAAAGATAATTAGCAGTCCCAATGGTTTCCAAATACAAGTATTGCTTAAATTAGATTGCCCTGAGCTAGACCACAGAGCTGTCTTGGAGCAGAGGTTTGATGGGCAGAACGTGTCCAGTTCAATTGCTCTCAGAGACCAGGATTAGATGCCAAGGTCAGTACATGTCATAGCTCTCTGCCACATCAGAATTCACTGGGAAAAGCACATAATCCCAGGGAAAACAGAACAGGCTTTGGGGACAGACAGTGACTCACACTGCCAGAAGGCCCCTGGTGTCACAGAGGACTATTTCTGTTTTCTATTGCCCAGCCCTGGGGACCCCCACCCCGTACCGCTGGACACTGCTGGCCCTCACTGTGCCATGACACACTGCACCAGCACTTCCACTAAAGGGCTCAAAACATGGGTGTTTGCAGCAAGAAAGAAAAATGTAAATGAACACGGTTCTTTCTTTGTAACCAAGCAGGATAGTTTGGTTAGGCAGAAAGAGTCATAGTTA